CCTAACTGTTCTCCCATCACATCTCCAGTCTTACCATCTCCAGTCCATTCTTCACACTGCAGCTACTGGGATATTTCTAAGGCACAATTAAGGTCATGCTTTTCCTGTGCTGAAAACCTATCAATAGTTCCCTTTTGTTGACTTCTGTGCTCCTGCATAGACTCCATGCAGGAGACTGCATAGACTCCTGCATGGTCCTTGCTGACCACTTCAGCCTCATCTGTTAATCACCCAAGCAGAACTACTTGTGGCTCTCTGTAGCCTTTCTACCCTCTGTGTATTAGTTTTCCATTATTATAACAAAATAACCAAGGCAGACTAACTTGATAAAGAAAGGAGGTTTATTTAGTTCAAATAGCATAGCACTGGCTCTGGTGAGGGCCCCTGGCAGCTGGAGGTAGCAATCACATCTCAAAACAGGAAGCCCAGGAGGCTGGGCTCCCACAATCCCTTCTTAAGGCACACCCTCACTCTCAATGACACAAGGGCCTCCCATAGGCCCCATTTCTTAAAGGCTCCATAACCTCTCACGCTGCTTCCCTGGGGACCAACCCTCTAACACATGAATCTTTGAGGGACAAACCACATCCAAACCTCAGCACTCTGTGTGGACCGCACCTTCATTCCTGCTTAATTCTCTGATTGTCTTTTAGGTCTCAGCTTAGATGTTCCTCCCTCTAAGATGTTTCTACAGGGTACTGAAACACAATTGCAAAACACTGGAATATAATGAGGGTCAATATTTTACATATCAGAACTTCTCTCAGGAAATGTACTTGTATGAAACGGAAAGGAAAACTTTGATAACCAGTTTGCTGTGGTTGATAGTCTTCCAAGGGACATTAGAGGTAAACATTCTCAGCCAATGCCGGTGGCTCAGGCCTGTAATACTAGCTACCCAGAAGGCAGAGATCAGGAGGATCATGGTTCAAAGCCAGCCCAGGCAAATAGTTCATGAAACCCTATCTCAAAAAAAAAAACCCCATCACAAAAAGGGCTGGTGGAGTGGCCCACAGTGTAGGCCTTGAGTTCAGTTCAAACCGCAGTACAGCAAAAAAAAAAAGAGGTAAACATTCTCAATGCAGACACATCAGACACATAGACTCCCCACCCAAACCCTAGGACTTGGAAAATGTGTGTGTTAAAAATGGGTGTTTATATCAGTATCCCTGGGAGCAATATTGACATGGAGTGTGTGTGTGGGTGCGGGGGGGGTGTCAATTATATTATGATTGGGATATTTTACTACAGGACTGTCCCACACAAGGAAAAATTGTTACACCCAAAATGCTAATAAAACCTTCATTAAGAAACAGTGTTAGGAGATATGCAAATCTAGGAGCTGAGCTGAATTGCTTAGAATAAACACAGTGGAGGCTGAGAACAGACAACTGAGGACTGACTCCCAGCTCTACCCAGTCTCAGATAGAGCTGTCTGTCTCAGCTGTAAATAAATGTTTTGTCATTTTCTTTTTCTTTTTTTGTTGGTGGGGGGATGCTGGAGATGGAACTCAGGGCCTCATGCATGCCAGGCAGTGCTCTATCACTGTGCTACCCCACCCTCAACCCTGTAAATTAATGTTGAGTACGTATGTTTAAAAATATTTGTTTAAAGAAAATAAAAACTATACATTAGTTTGAAAAGAGCCAAAATTTTCAGCCCAAGGGACATATAATATCTACCGTGGCTCTGCTCCCCCACATTTCTTACTGTAAGGTGAGTACCTGCAATAGTCCCAACTTGAGTGTAGGGCCATGCCCTACTACATAAGTAGAATTTAGTATAGTGTTTGACACATGATAGATGCTCATAATTTCTTCTGAATGATGACTCCCCAAATCTAAAAGTAAGCCCTGAGATCCTTTCTAAGTTTCAAGTCTACCTATTTATCACTAATCATACATTTCCAGTTAACCACTTCAAACTTAACAGGTATAAAACAGAATAATCTGCTTCGATCCAGTGTTAACCCCCACCCCCAAATAACATCAGTTCCCTTAGTTATGGCAAATACCAGCACCATCCTCCTAATTGTCTAAGCCAGAAGCCTGCATGTCATCCAGGTCTGCCTGGTCCCTCACCTCTCCAAGCCATATTGGAAGATATTTTATCTTCCAATTATCAAGGTGCTGGAGTGACTCAAGTGGTAGAGCACCTGCCTAGCAAGTGTGAGGGCCTGAGTTCAAACCCCAGTACCACAAAAACAAAACCAGCACCAATCCACCAATTATCTCCTGGACTCTGTCCTCAGCCCTCCTGGTCTTCATTTAGGGTCAATGATACATGTTCTTGCATTGTTTCCTAAAGCACATCTCCATCCCCATCCTCATTGTTATCACCCTTTAAAACATTTTTAAGTATACTCTAAAAATAGTAGTTAATATTTTTGTGAGCTTACTCTGGTACCCACACTACTTTAGCATGCATTTTCTGACTCCTCCTAACAACCTTAGTTTGAAATAACTTCCTGAGGTAAGGGGACAGAAATAAGATCCAAACACAGGTAGCCTGGCTCAAAGCAGTGCTAGGCCAGGCCATGGTCCCTTCTGGAATTCTCTGCTGCTTAAGAGATGATAACCCAACTACTAGCCACATCAGATGCCAATTCCTAACTTTTTTTTTTTTAAGTATAACCTTTTATTTAAGGATATTTGAATTTTTTATTAATGAGGTTTTGGTAATCACTTCACAATGTATACACATATCAAAACATCATGTTATACACTGTAAATATATCATTTTTATTTGTTAATTATACTTCAATAAAGCTAGAGAAAAAAATTAAAAATTAAAAAAAAATCTAGCCAGGCACTGGTGGCTCCCACATGTAATCCCAGCTATTTGAGAGGCTGAGATTAGGAGGACTCAGGCCAGCTAAGGCAAATAGTTTGTGAGACCTACATCTGCAAAATACCAGAGCAGAATGGACTGGAGGTATGACTCAAGTAAGTAGAATACCTGCTTTGCAAGTACAAAGCCCTGAGTTCAAATCCCAGTCTCCCCACTCCCTGCAACAAATTTAACTTTTTAGCATCACTGCTACTCCCTCCTCCTGTCCCCACCGTCTAGGCACACACAGGTAACTGTTTTATATGCCATGTTATTTCACATACATCTCTGTGTCTGAGTCTCCTCCTTGGTTGATGGTCTGGTTGTAGTCTCTTCGAGTTAAGGCTTGCTAAGTATTCCTTTTCAAGAGCTGCTGGCATATTGCAAATGTGTGTGGTGGTTATGTTAAATGGGGAGGACTGAGGTCAATAAGCCAAAGAAGTGGACCCATTAGAGGTCCCATTAGAGCAGGGGATGAAGGAATCCCTAAACTAAGAGCCCATGTACAACTGACTAACTGATGGTCTGGATATGCTGGCAACTGGGGGCCAGTGTCCATCTTCTTAGCCTGTGTTCTCTGCTGTGTGATGCCTACATGGTGGTGGTGGGGGAGGTGCCTTAGGGGGCTGGGGCTGAGGGACCCTCCTCAGAGTATACCATCTCCTTTTTGTCTGTCTGGCAAACTCCAATACATTCTGCAAGGCTCACTTCAGCATCATTCCTAAGTCTTCCTGTTAGCATTAATGCTCCTCTGTGCTCTCATTTTGTAAGGCTGGCTTTTCTTCCCTATGCATGCCACCAGAATCTAATAATCATCGCTTGTAAATACTTTACCAGCAAATTTAAATTTGGAAAAGAGACTGGTGTTGGTGGCTCACACCTGTACTCCTAGCTATTTGGGAGGCTGAGATTGGGAGGATTGCAGTTCAAGGCCAGCCCAGGCAAATAGTTTGCCAGACCCCATCTCCAAAATTACCAGAGCAAAATAGACTGGAGGTTTGGCTCAAGCACTGAGATAAAACTCCAGTCTCATCCCCATACCCCCCCCAAAAAAAAGAAAAAGCGAAAACATAAATTAAAAGTATTAATTACAGGAACACAGATTTTTGTTTAGCATAAGAGAAAATGTTTACAGTATATCATAACTGGATATGGTGACGTATGCCTACAATCCTAGCACTTGGGAAGCTAAGGCAGGAGGATGGTTCCAAACCAGCCTGAGCACATAATAAGACCTTATCGCAACCACCCTCTCCACCAAAAAAAAAAAAGGTATATTGTATATAAGCAGAGAACAGACTAGTGACTGAGATTGTGACTTTTGGTGTTATACTGCCTCTGTTCAACATTGAGCCTTCTGAGTAGCTTAATCTTCCCATATCTCCAGAAAATGGAGAATATTTTTGTGCGAATTAAATGAGAAGTACTTGGCTTAGTTCCTGGCATCATGTAAGCACTTGGTAATGTTAAATATTACTATTTTATCTACTAGTTACCATGGACATTCCCTGACACTATCTCACCATGAAGCGGATTGCACAGCAGTGCCTTTCCCTTTTATGGAGGGTATTTGGGCAACAGTAAGCCAAGGAGAGATGCTGTAAGAGTAATTCCTGAGTCGAAACGATTAGATTACTTGTACGCATGTTTCTAATCATAGAAAAAGGAAAGCCCTTTCTCTACGTCAAGGAAAGTGTGATCATTAGTGTTACTTTTAGCAAAGTAGAGGAATAGCAGAAGGAGAAAAACATTGTATTTGGCTGTATGACTATATCACAAGGAACAAAATATTTTATTCCTTGTGAGCAGTTAATTGCAAGAGCCCTTCTATTTATGGTGTAACCCATATGGCAAATCAGGCCCTTGCATGAAAATCTGTCTCTTTTCAAAAAGGAGTCGTTTGGTCCTGCCAAAATGGAACAAACAAAAGTTTAAAGACTGTTCCAGCCCTACTGAAATGTCTTTTCCCTTTGAAAGAAGTCTATTGGTGATGTAAATGCAAAGTTATCTGCACAGATGATAATCCCAGCAAACAAAACAGTGAAACCATTAGAACTTTGTTGGGCAGCCTTCACTCCTGAGAATTTGGCTTTTGAGAAAGAGCAGAGCTGGTTAGTGTTTGGGAGAGTTGGCTAGGTCTGCTTATCTGAATCCTGGGCTAATTAACTGCATGTTTGGCCGAAAGAGTTCAAGCAGTTCCCCAAATGTGGACCAGCTGAAGGCCGGCCTGCACGATGGGCTTCCTGCCAGGGAGCAGGATCGGTAACCATGGGATAGCATTTCTAGTCAGGACTTTAATTCTCAAGATGCTAGAAGTTTCAGGTAGATTTATCTAGAAGAAACCCAGTGATATGCACCTCCGAGGGCAATAGTTTAAGTGATGCTCTCACATTCCTGATGCTTTAACTAAAAAATTAGACAAATGGAAGGCTATTTGTATAGGTACCATTTTCCAACATGTTTTAGTCAGTACACAGGGTAAACAATTTCTTTAAAAATTTAGTAAATATGCAATTTTACTGTAAGAGAAATGATTGAAAAGATTTTTTAAAAAGTCTAATACAGTTAACTATTAGTAGTTTGCTTGACTATTACTTATTTATATTACCCTTAACAGGTTTGAGGAGACCCAGTTTCTCAGGAGCCGCCAGGCATTAGAGGAATATTTGTAGTTGGTGGTGTGTGCCTAAAGGGATTAGGAAAGCATTTCTGAAGCAAAAATCCAACGTGGTACTGCCGAAGTGGCCATCCCCACGTTGATTAAAGCTTTGGGAAATGCCTACTGGACAGTTTATGGCGAACAGAAAATTAATGCTTCAGTATCCACGGGCTCTCTTGAACAAGTATTTCAGAGCTGGAGCTGCTGTCCATAAAGTTTGTATGTAAGGCTGGCAATCTGTCTCTTGAGCAGGGTGGAGCCTTCGGTAGAGAAGGTAGCAGCTAATGAGCGTCGGGATCATTACGTAGTTATCTTTCGGGTGCGAGAATGGATCTAGTCCACGCTCCGCCCACCACCACATTTCCTTGGCTAGGTGGCCTGACAGCTCGCGCAGCCTCTAGGTAGAGGTCAATCACCGCTTGGGTTCTGCACTGCTTGCCTTCCACGCCCTCCACGCGTGGTGGTGGGCGGCAGCTGGGCGTTTCCACCGCCCCCCAGCATCCCACGCCCTGCCCGTTCCACGCGCCTCCCTGGCTGCCTTCCTGGCCTGCCTTCTTTTGCACTCTGGCAGGCCAAAAACCGAGTGTCAAGTATTACAGCAAGCACAGCTCACTTCCTCGGGGGCTTTCCTCACGGGGTGTTGGGCCACCTCCACCCCACAGACCCTGGGGCACTCCACTGCCACTGCATGTATCCTACGTGCAGTTGCTCCTAAAAAAAAAAAAAAGTTTGGGAAATTGTCTTGCAGTTGAACCTACACTACCTGTTTAGGGCTGGGACCAGGTACAGCGCGTCCAACTTTGTGACTAAGGGAATGAGAAGCATAAAGGGGACACTGTGTGCCTGTCCGTCCCGCGGTCCCTGGAGCAGGCAGACCCAGGCCAGCAGCGCGCTGCGAGGACCCGCGGTGGCTCTGGTCCTACGCGGACCCGCGCGCCCCCAGCCCGGCGGGCGTGCGCGGAGCCGGAGCGCGTGCGCGCGCGAGCCTGGGAACGCTCCCTCCGGGATCGCGGCTGCGCAGTCGGGCGGGAGCCGGGAAAGGGAGGAGGGCGGAGGAGCGGAGTGAGGGGAGGGACAGGAGCGGCGAAGGCGGAAGCCATGTTGGAGCTTCACCCCGAGCGAGGGGCTGCGAGCGCTCCCCTCACGTTGTGGGTGTGACCCGGGCTCAGCGCGGCAGCGGGGGGCGGGGACGTTAGGCCGGTCGTCGTCGTCTGCGGCGGCGCGAGGGGAGCGGCGGCCGCAGCGTGGAGTCGGGCGATTGTGACCGCCGGGCGAGCAGGGGGCCGGCCGCGGCGCACACTCTCCGTGTGGCCCCCTGAGCGCCCCCCCTCCCCGGCCCGGGAGGGAGGCGGGGGGCACCCGGGGCCCGCCATGAACCCCGGCTTCGACCTGTCCCGCCGGAACCCGCAGGAAGATTTCGAGCTGATACAGCGCATCGGCAGCGGCACCTACGGCGACGTCTACAAGGTACAAAGCGGGGGGCCGCGCGCCCCTGCCCCCTCCGCGGGCACGGCCCGGGGTGCCGCCGAGCCAGGACTCGGGTTCGCGCTCCGGTGTCCGGGAGCCTGGCCGCGGGGGAGGAGGAGGAGCAGCGGGCGCCCTGGCTGCGCTGCCTGCGGCCGAACAAAGGGCCAAATGTGTGACCCGAGACCTGGGGTCCTCACCTGGGCCGCCGCCCTGGACGCGGTGTTTTGACACCTCCGGGGAAGGGCGGCGCGGGCGGCGGGGCTCTCCGGAGTGCAGAACGGCGGTGGGCGCCGCGCTTCCGGACGGCCGGGACTTGGCGTTTGTCAAACCTGCGAACTGCTCGCCAGCTGGCCTGGAATCCTCCCCTGAAGGTTGGGAGCGGTTGCCCACCCAGCCTGCTGGTCCTTAGGGCACCGGGCACCCTGCATTGAAGGCCCTCAGCCTTTAGCCTCCTAGCAGTTCCTTTTAATTTTCCAAGTAATGACTTTCTTCTGTAAAAGAGATCGTTAGCATTTTTTTTTTTTTGGAGGCAAGAGCAACTTTGTTTTCTCCAAGTGCAATTGAATTGTGATGCTTGTTTTTCTTAGCGAGATAGGAATGAGCTTTTAATTGTTTTTCAGTGAATTGAATACTTAGTAAAGGTATTATTGGTTTGACAAGGTTAGGAGTCAACGTCTAGGAGGAGGACAGCATTGTGTCCTATAGGGACCACTTCTAAATGTGGGAGGAAAATCACTCTTCCCTGGCCAGCTCAACTCTTGGCCTTGCAGAGACTGCCAAGGAGCGAGGAGATGGTGCCAAATGTGGCAGCAATCTTGATTTAGTTGCAGATCTTCTTACTGGTGACTGAAGTTGAACTCCTCCTGTTCCACTGAACACCTGAGGATGCACAAAGAAACTTAATTTTATGCTGGAAAGTTTAGTCATAACTTTGTTTTGCCCACGTTCAAGTGCTAGGTTTTTTTTTACCCTCACTTCTGAGAAATGCATAACTAAGAGATTTAATACAGTGCAACAGTGTTCTCTGGTAGTCTTGTTTTGTGAATGATTTGCTTTTCACCCTCACGAAACTCATTTCTTCCCCCAAAGACAATACAGGTGTATTGAGTATAAGTTATTGGGCATATAAGTACTTGAGTTGTAGCAGCAAAAAGGTAGTTATGGTCCCAGATCTTATTTGACATTTGTATTTTTTGGACAAGCACATGAAGCAACTGTTGAAATCATTTTATTGCAGTTTTATTTTGTGCTACCGAGAAGAGGGATAGGGCTGTGAGAGCATGGAACAGGAGGACCTGATCTTGTCTTGGGGGGTGTTTCAAATGCTTATCACCTTTTAGCTGAGATAGGAAGATGACAAGGCATTGCTTAGGGCAGTGGGACAAGGGGGGATGATGGTGCCACATGAGGGAGCATGATCCTGAGTGTGAAGAAACCTGGTAAGGATTTGAAAGGAGGCCTGTGTGACCTCAGCACTGAGTGGATGGCTATAGATCTTGCAGGCCTATTAGCTTTTGTAACAAGACTGGACTTCTTAGGATAGAGGGGACTCTTGACAAAGGGAGTGAGATTAGATTTGGATTTTTTAAAAGCTCTCCTACTACAGGATGAGGAGTGTACTGGAGAGGAAGAGCATTTAGGAGGCCATTGGCATAGTTCTGGTAAGAATAATGGTATTTTGGAATTTGGTGATGACTATGAATGGATCCAAGTAGCTAATGACTGGTTGAGGGAGTCCAGTTATTTCAGATGACAGGTTAATTAAAACTTCACGAACATGTCCTAGGTGACAGTGTGTACAATAGGTTCTTCTTACAGGGATAATTGGCCATACACTTATTTTATATATTTTTAAAACAGTTGGCATGTAAGCCACTTGATAAAAAAACTAACAAAACAAAGCCTGTAATTTCCTAAGGACATCTAATGACAATACTTGCTAACATTTATGGAGTGCTTATTATTTGGCAGGTGCTTTTCTAAGATTTTTCTCCTTAAGCCTAACACAACCCTATGAGATGGATGCTGTTGTTAATTACTTCCATTTTGCAGGTGAAGAAACTGAGGTACAGGGAGGTTAGAGTAACTCGTCAAAGTTGGTAGGTGGCATTGTCAACCAATAGGAAGTACTCTTTCTCTAAAGATAGAACATGGGTATTGATGTATTACTGAATTTCCAGGGGAGAGACCGAGGCATGCAGTTCAGCATTTGAGTAACCACATTCTGAGTTAGTGTGGATCTTTAAGTATGGTTGGACTCCCTAACTCCTGAATGCAGCCAGGCTTTACTGCTTTGTAGTCCCCTGGCCAAGTGGACATCAGATAATTGATGTTCCATCCCTACCTGGCAAACTCTTCCAATACCAGGGGCCCAAAACAGAGAAACTCATTGTGGCATTTGTCATCATACCCCTGCCTGCTAAATAATCCAAAGCACAAACTTTGCTTTTGTATAGTCAAGTTCATGCTATAAAGATACCTATTTTTCACATTTGTTTTGCTTTTGTAGATTTTTCCTGTTTGTACAAATTGTGCTGATTAGAGAGGAGTGCATTTCGTTTTCAAAAGTCAAAGTATATGATTTGCTTCTTAATTTGTCAGTGTTTAGGTGCTAAAAATGGAATGATTGGATTACATAAATTAGATCTAATTATTTATAGTAATTCTTGGAAGGTTAGTGTTTTAGGGGATTTTTATTTGAAACTATCCTACCTACCATTAGAACATCCATACTATGTTAGAGTTTATGTTTATAGTTTGGTTACAGAGCACTGAACTAAATGGGTATGATCTGGGATCTATTAGCCATGTGACCTTGTAAGACCACTTTGCTTTTCAGAGCCATTTTGTTGTGAAGCTACTATTACCATCAGATCCCTTTCTGCTTTTGGTGTCAACTAAATGATTTGAGTTTTACCCAACAAATAAGTTATCTTTAGCCTTGCTTTTTTTTTTCTTTTCAAACCAGTGCAAATATATCTGTTTCATCTACACTGTTATAGATTACTTGAAGATACAACTAAGGAAAAAAAAAGAAAAAAAAAGTCATGCTTTACTTTATCTGTCATGAAGTATCCACAGCTGGGTTACCTAGGGACGGAGAATAGGCTGACAAGTTGAGCACTATGGGTAGGCCTCAGGTGGCACATGAGTGTTTGGAAATTAATAGGCTTTATGTTGCATGTTTATGTTTTTCTGGAGTACCCATTATATTCTCAAAGAGGTCTACAATACAAAAGGCCAGAAGAAGGAGCTTGGGGGAGAGGTTCAAGAGGTAGAGCATCTGCCTGGCTCTAAGTTCAAACCCCAGTACTGCCAAAAAAGAAAAAAGAAACAAAAGGAGAGAAGAACAGATGATCTATATAGGTTTGTCATTTGAAAGAATTTTTCAGGAGAAATTAGGCAGTTCTATGCTGGATCATATGTCAACATTTAGTATGATCTGTACCTGCATTTGTACCATATTTTCTCAGGCAGTTTTTCAGCTTAATTAATATTGTTGAAGTCTTCCTGTCCTGGCATTTTTTAGGTTTGTTAGTAGAAACCAATTATATAGTCTCTTGGCTTTTCCCAGCTCTGTACCAGCCAGCCTTGTGTTCTCTCCTGAGCTCTAGCCCATTGTTTCCTGCTGACCTCATCACAGACTTACAGCTTCCTCCAAACCAACTTTTGTCAGAAGCCCCAGTATTGACAATTTGCTAAGGCTTGAGTCCCTGGAGTGATCTTGTACTTCTGAACTGGACTTAATAGGCATTTGCTACAAACTGTACATGGGCATTTTTGAAAGTGTGGTGGGATGCTTCAGGGAATGCCTTACTATGGGTGTGTTACAGACGCAAGTCCTATGGTGAAGAAACCTGCTAAACTTTGCTTAATCTAGCAAACTCCAAGCTTAGTTTGATTATGGGATCCTATTTTTTCTGTAATACCTATTGCTCTTCCTTGGTACGAGTGTCTTGTAAATGTGCTGTGGAAGTGTTGATATTGATATATATATATATTTTTTAATCTATGTGTTTGGAAGCCATTTCCTCTGAAGCAGAGGCTGTGGTTGTTGCTAACCTCTGAGGCAGCATTCACTTGGTAGTCTGTGTAAGTAGATTTGGAGTCTGTGAAAGCAGACAGGAGAAACATTGAGGACAGCAGTGAAATCAGGAAATTATGTCATGTGGATTTAGAGAATTATGTTTTGGTTTATTTTTTAATTTCTTTCTAGGTGTTCTGATTAATGGTATCAAAGACTAATTCTGCCATTACAGTTAGCATTTGTAAGAACCTTTCCAAAGGGTTGGAGATATAGCTCAAGTGGTCTTGAGCCCGGTGCCCCCAATAGGGGAAAACAAAACCAAAACAAACCAAAACAAAAAAACCTTTTTGGAAATCTCAGTTCTTAACCCTGTTTTTTGATGAGGAACATAAAGACCTTAAGCATTTAGAAAGGAACAGCTGAAGGAAATTAGAACATGGTTAGCTGAGGTTATGCTCACATTTGCTTCTGTGGAGGGTAAGGTCTAGATAGACCAGAAGAGATCCTGAACTTCAAAAGGTCATTTGAAGTTCCTGAAGGTTAAGTTTCCCAGCATCAGCAGCTGTTTGAGATGGAAAGTAACAGTGGAACGGATTGCGGAGTAATTTCTCTAGAAAGCTTACAAAGAAAGCAAACAAAAATGAGCCTATCTAACTTTGATGTAGAGCTGATTCATTAAAGGAAATGCTTACCTGCAAGCTTTGTTCCATACATGTATTTATTTGGGAAAGTACATCTAATGTATGATTTTGTATTGAGAATGAATAGTAAGGCCTCTTATTGCAGCACATTGAACAACTGTCATACACTGAACAGCTATACTGTGAAAACAAGCGTATTAGGGACTATGAGTGGCAAAAATGACAAGCCTTGGTATATGGTATTTATGGAACATAACATGTTTACCTGCTTTTAACTGTCAAAGCTTGAGGTCAAAACCTTGTTGGTTTCCTTTCCTCATTTCTATCATAGT